TGAACTCATACATATACATGGCAGTATTAAGTTTTACATCATATATAATGTATCTCATTCCATGACAGCTGCACATTTCTGCAGGATACAAGCTCACCTCCAAACGAACCGTGGGCTTCAAAGACGGCAGAAAGCCGGCCGGGGTACGGCAGGTGCCCATTAGTGGGGCGCGGCGCTCGGCCATGTGGGTCACTTCAGCCGCAGTGCACCCCCGAGTTTTGCGCAGCGGCGCACAACTCACCATGCCCATTTCCCCTTTCAAAGCTGAGCATCTCAATCTGACCAACTCCCCCATCTTCAACCTCCTGTTCTATCTCACTTCCAAATCTAATCCGTTCAATTCAACATCCAAATTTCGACCCAAGAACTTGGGGAATCGGCCTCAGCTTACCTCGTTGTACAGACAGGGCCTGTACGCGACGCACAACAATGAGCCCCCCGTCCCCAAATAAGGGAAAGGCTCCCATCACCGAAGACGGAGACTTGTCCGACACCTCGTCTCATCCAAGCGATGCCGAGTACGTCGACGGCGAAGTCATCTCCTCTCGCCATCAAGAAGAGGACAAAAAGCCGGATTCGACTGTTCCTGCTCAGCTCTCATCTCGAGGCTCTCTGCAGGTCAGCCAGGAGACGCAAGGCGAGAAATGTACCAAGCTCAACCGAGCTTCACCATCTCTACGGCGAGGCAGCACTTCACATTCAACCGTATTCGATGCCGAATTCTCTCATTCGCAAACCAGCCAAAAATCTTCATTGCCACTAGATTTGACAATGAAAAAAAAGAAAAAGAAGGCCACATCCACAGGCGCTGATGGATTTGACGCATTTTGTGCTGCTGCATCGGGAGAAGACGCCCAAAATCTCCTATTGGCGGCAGACCGAAACGTTAAGTCCGAAACCTCACAGAATGAAATCATGGTCCGGCTTGGGCATGCCACAGATGATTTGGCTCTTGAGAAGTCAAGTTTGAAATCCGAAGGTGACACCGAGAGTAGCACATCCAATTCTGAGGACGGGCCAACAGAGAAGAATGAGGACCGCACTAAGAAGGTCCAAAGCCTTATAGTTGATAGGATCATGTCCTCATTTATGAGCTGGCTGGACACAAGGAAGAAAATGAAACAAGAGGTGGAGGAAGAGAATGAATCGCAAATCGAAGCCTTGCTTGAAGCTGTCCCCGGCGGCGATGCTGCAGATGGTGCTCTATTCGAGTCTGTTCCAGCAATGCCGGCAAGTGTTTCTGCTAGCGTGCCGAGCTCATCCAGGCATGAACTCGAAAGCTTCATGTATCGTCAGGTTCCGGCTCCACGTGCTCCTGCGCCCGTCACTCGTCACCGGAACTCGAATATTGCTATCCCACCGCCGCCACCGCGAACCTCATTGATAGAATCACCACTAGCAGGACCACCTTTACTAGGAGGGCCGCCTCCATTAGGAATTCCACCACCACCAGTAGGAGGGTCACAATTATCTGCGACTTATGTTCCGAGTTATGATTCAATGGTAGATCTCGCGGGGATACCACCGCTGGCATCAGGTGCACCACCAGTAGTCCCAGCACCCATGACCATACCGCAGGCACAATCACGATCAGGCTACACTGATAGGAGAATAAGCGATGTCAACAAAGGCACGAGTTTTCGCAAACGGGGACGTCCTCCAGTATCAGCACCACGATCCTTTGTCTCGGCGGCGTCACCACCAAAACTCGGCGCTTTGTCAAGAGCATCCGTATCTTCGTATGGGGCAGTAGATGCGCATCAACCTGCAGCAGAGGTACAAGCGGATGGCGCCCGCCAAGTGGCTATGCACACAGGCAAAAGGGGGCGTAAGGCAAATCCATTGATAAAGCACGACAGGTCGGCAGGCGATCAGGCGCCCGATGAAGACGAAGACGAACAGGGCGAGGAGAATCGGTTGCCCCGCGCGAAACTTTCCAAAGTACAGGAAGACGTTGTTGAAGGCGCAAAGCTTGCGTGTCCCTTTTTCAAGTACAACCCGAGGAAATATAAGACCCAACGACCGTGCTGCGGGCCAGGGTGGGACCACGTCCACCGTATCAAGTACGTTCATCCTCTCTTCATACATGCGCTCACTGCTGACGACTCACCAGGGAGCACATATACCGCAAGCATTCTCTTCCAAAATTCTCATGTCCGCGCTGCTCCCAGTCTTTTGAGACCCAACTGGCTCTGCAAGCCCACGCCCGCTCCCTAGACGCTTGTGACGTACGCGAACCGGAGGTCTTAGATGGCATCACACAGGACCAGGAGAAGAAGCTTCGTTCCCGGAAGAAGACGTCGGCAAAGGAACTCACCGAAGGGGAGAAGTGGTCCCAGGTCTACAGCATCGTCTTCCCCGATGTGAGAGAGCGGGAGATCCCGTCACCGTGTAAGCTTGTTTTCTGCCCCGAGGGGGCCAGGGATTGATGCTAACTCTTGCAGACCATAATGCGGAGGATGCCGACACGAACCTGGGCGGCTACGAAGACTACCTTCGACGCGAGCTCCCGCCACTTGTCCGCCGACAGCTCGAAAAAGAGGTTGAGCGTGAGCTAAGCTTTGTCGAGGGAGGCATGAAGCAAAAGGTCATCGACATCGCTCGGAACCTCCAGCTCACGCTCTTCAAGGGCTACCAACAGCTTGAGAACCAGGAGCGAGGACTACAAGACCCACCGAGTGTCATTCCGTCCTCAAGCTCCGAGACGGGAGGGTCTTTCTTCACGGCGACGGACACTTCGCCGTCGACCATAACGACCAGCGGCACAACGCCGGAGATCCCGGATCCGTTGGACATATTTGGTGACCCTGCAATTCCGGACTTTGATTTTAACTTCCTTGCCGATATTCCCTTTCCCGAGTCACAGTCTCTTTCCAAGGGACAGACTCTAGACTTTGGGTTCGATCAGCATTTTGATATCCAACAGCCAGCCACGATCAAACCTGGGATGGAGATGCTCGGGGCACAGCAGCACGATCCGTCATACTACGGAGTAGATGGCTACCAAGATACAAATGGCCAGAGGATGGACGCGAGTGTTCTGAGTTATGTTCCATGAGTTGTTGGGCACGATGCTTTCTCTGCCACTCTCTTATCGTTCTTTCCTTCCGCCGATGTAGCACCCGAGATACCCAATTAGTCCATCATCAATTCATCCTTGACAGCATACTTTGCCTTGGATTACGGGCGGTTAGCTCAATAATGTTGTTCTGAAGCCGCCGCATTTGGCGTTCGGGCGTTTCGCTATAGACAACGAACTGATATACTTCGCCAGTGGCCCGAAACACAAGGCACGGGGTCCCGGGGTGTAAGCCCGGAGATAAGCGGGCAACCCAAAGAGCGGGAGCTAGCAAGGGATTCCAGGAGCTCTCGAATTAAGGTTTATTTGCTTACGTTGACCACATATTATGGAGCCATTGCACAGTGATGTGCCGTTCCCTGTCTCCCTGCTTTACGATCTGTTCTAGTCTCTTGCCAAGTTGCCCGGACCTACTGTTGATAGATGCTTACGTTGACTGCAGCTGAGCCGGCCGGCACTGAAAGTAGATCCAAGTCCATCACACATTGCACGGCAGTGTATATAACGTCAACGACCATGAAGTACATCACAGGAGTCTTTCCCAAATCCTGTAAACGTTTCAAGCTTCAAAAAAGTCAGCAAGATGGGTAGCGCGTTGAGCAACATGTTCCCGCCAAAGGCCAGCTTCACTGAAGCAAATTTGCCTGATCAGAGCAACAAGGTTACTTTCGTCCTATACACCCCCGCTAACACTGGTTCCAAGACTCACAGACATAGGTTTTTATCGTCACAGGCAGCTCTGGCGGCCTAGGCAAGGAGCTCACCAAGATTCTCTACGAGAAGAATGCCAAGATTTACATGGCGTGCCGGTCTGAAGCCAAGACCGCAGCCGTGATCAAAGAGTTGAAGGAGTTGTACCCCAACTCCCAAGGCCACGCCGAGTACCTGCACCTAGACCTCAACGACTTGACGACAATCAAGCAGTCCGCTCAAGAATTCCTCAGCAAGGAAACCCGTCTCGACGTCCTCTGGAACAACGCAGGCGTCATGACCCCGCCGCCGGGGTCCAAGACAGCCCAGGGCTACGAGCTCCAACTGGGCACCAACAATCTCGCCCCGTTCCTATTCACTCAGTTCCAACGGCCGGTGCTATCTGGCACCGCCAAGATTGCGCCCAGGGACTCGGTCCGTGTGGTCTGGGTATCTTCTAGCACGGCGGCTATGGCACCGAAGCCGCCAATCGATTTCAGCAATATGGATTATGCAAAGGATGAGAGCCAAATGCAGAAGTACTCGAGAAGTAAGGCCGGTAACGTCTTACATGGAACCGAGTTTGCGAGAAGAGTATCTGGAGAAGGGATCACTAGCGTTGTAAGTTGGCGACTGAGCTTGCAGATGGATGCACCTACTTACAGCGTCGACCAGAGTCTTGACCCCGGAGTTTTCATGACGGATTTGCAGCGTACCATGCCGCTGTGGCAGTGGATCATCGTGGTGAGTGCTGCTTTAGACCCCTGCCGTCTTTCCATCTCTGACCACATCTTGATGCATTCACTAGAAATTCCTCGCGCACAAGCCGATCAACGGTGCATACACCGAGCTTTTTGCTGGCTTAAGCCCATCGATTACGGAGAAGAATAACGGTGGCTGGGGTAAGATGATTAACCGACTTTCCCAAGTTCTGTGTATAATACTAACGGGAACTTCTAGTGGTCCCCTTTGGTCAACTTGCAGCTGGAAGAGAGGATCTCCGCGACAAGGAGCTGGGCAAGAGGTACTGGGAGTGGACAGAGACCCAGCTCAAGCCCTATATCTCATGATGGATTTGCGCTGGTCTACCAAGATCTTTCATGTTTCACTCTCTCTTTCCTATGTTTCTCTTCGATGTACAATGAAACATGTCGAAAAGTTTGCGAGATCCGATAAACAGGCGCAACAGAGCTTGTCAGTCATCCTCAAGGTTTCTTGCATACTAACAACCCCGTAAACTCCTCCACCAAGCACTAGTCTGTATCATACCGTCTCTATCATCTCTTATAACCAACTTCCACTTCTCCAAGAACCATGGCATCGCTTCCCAGCTGCGGCCATCCCACGGCACACCGTTTCCACGCCCATGCAAGGATCCCATCGCGGAGCCCCAACATTGAACGCCCCCACTCAGCATGTCGATGCAGAGGTCGTCCTCGTCTATCTGCGGTGAGGCCTCGGAAGCGAGTGTGATGGCGTTGGAGCGGAATGATGGCCATGGCATCAGGTCGAAGCAAGGATGATGAGCCCGGACACGCTGGATGAAGGTCGGTCTCAAATCAGGGGTGATATTTTGAAGAGCTGTATCATCGTCGCTCGAGTCGTGTTCGTGTTCGCTCAGGCGATTATTTGCAATGCTGTAGAATAGTGACTGTGCGTTCTCGTCCATCAGATACTCTGTTGTCATGCCGAGCTGAGCTGCGATGGCACGCATTGCCGATGCATATGACATCGATCTCAAGCTGATGGCGTCTATCGAAGGTCTAGGATAGGTCGGCAGCACCCATTCGAGTGCAGGTCGTTCCTCCGGTGCCGTGAGATGAGCCAATATCCTGAGGCCGGCAATGACGACTTGCCTCATGTCGACGCCGCCGCATCTCGCTTTGACGGTTTCGATCCACTCGCGCGATGAAAGCGACAATGCACTCTCGTAAAGTACGGGGTCCATAGAGTACCCCATGACTGTCAATCCGTACTTAACAACGTCACGAATAGTAAAGTTCTCTCTCACCATGATGCTCCAACCTTTCCTGTTTTCATGAGCCGAGAGAGACTGCAACGCCTGGTAGATTTCCGATGCTGTGAGGTTGTATGAAGCAGTATACGCCTCCACGTTTCTATTTGTCGTGTCGTCTGCTGCAGAGGGACACGGAGGGCAGATTGTAACCTCCTTAGCGCGGTCTTGTGAGGCTGCTTCTTGCGTCACCCACGCAGCGGCGACCATCTGCTCGAGATGCCGGACCTTGGTTTTCTGCCTTGCACCTGACGTAGAGTGAGTACAATACAACGCAGGAGAGCTACTGGATCAAGTACGGTACGCCCGCTGAGCGTTGGCATTCTGGCGCTTTCGGCGGTCCTTGGCATCGGGCATCTTTCTACGAGGCATTGCGGCGTAATGGTTCCAACAACTGGACCTGTAGCCTCGACTAAATTGGGACCGTAGCTGATTGTACAGATTGAAACGATATGAATGAGTATCTCGAGAGATTGAAGCAATAAGAGGGTCTCCGATTTCAAGAAAGAATGCTGTATGGCTTGGGCAGATGAGGTTGAGTAAGGTTGCCTCGCGGACTTTTGGTGCAACCTAATCTCCGCAATGTCCGGGTGCCAAGTCAAGCATGTTCGAATGCCTAAAACGTGAGAGTTTCCCATTCATTATAAAGAATTTAGAATCGAATGCATAGTATTATAGGCCTGAAAGTTGCGAGGGCAATAGCCCATTATTAGATAACTGCTAGATTCTCGACAGATTTGCTACAAAAGTCGTAGCTCTCATCCAACCAACTACAACTTTCCCTGTCGGTTGTCCTCGCCAAGCTTCAGGATAGATGCAAGATTGTTTGTCTCAATGACTTCAAAAAGTCCCCCAAGACCAGCGAGACGACGTTTCTCGCTCTCCTTGCGGAAGAACTCTTCCGCTGTCTTGATTCTCTTTGGGTGAATCTCGTCCAAGAGCGCGTAGTCACGTTGAATGACTCCCTTGTTGCCCCCAGAGTTCGTCCACATTGTCCAGAAACCTGAGAAGTTGTCCCTAACAGACATAGTCGCTGGGTCCGCGGGATCGGCGTTGTATCCGGCAGGTTGACTTGAGATTGGGAAGTTGTCGAAGTAGACGTCCATGGGAGTGTCAATGTACTGAGCTGGCTTTCCCGTGGCCCTTTCAAACGCCTTTGCCAGGTCTGCGTAGTGAATATGGTCGATGGCTACCTCCAGATCCATCCCGTCAGATCTTTCGGGGTGGTCAAAGAGCCAGCGGGCATAGTGCTCGCAATCATCGAGGGAAACATGCGGAACTGCGCCAGCACCGAGGGGAACTCTCCATGTGACAACCTCATTTTCAACCCGTGGCGTCATGATTGTTTTGGAGGAGATCGTCATCTCAATGTAAGGGCCGGTGGTGAAGATGGCGACACCCATGTTGTTGCCTTTTCTCTGCTGCAGCATCCACTCGGCTAGACGACCCTTACCATCGTAGTGTCCGCATCGGAACTTTGGGTCATAGCCGCTCTTCTTATAACCGTAGTCGAGGTTTCCAAAGACGAAGAACTTGATCCCAAGCTCCACTGCCAACTCGTAGCAGCGGATCGTCCAGTAAGTCTCCGTCTTCTCGCCGCAGTTGAAGCCATCGATGTTGACAAAAGCACCCCAGCACCCGGCGAATCCCTTGCGTAGGTCACTTTCATTGGCGAAAGTTCCCTCGATGAATTCAACATCTCCAAGTTTTGTGAGTTGCTTCGCTCTCGCAGAGCTAGAGTCACGCGTCAAGACGCGTAGACTGTAGCCACCATCCTTGGCAAGACCTCGACAGACGGGAAGGCCTTGGGCACCAGTGGCACCGATGACGAAGATGCGGCGGCTTGCCATATTGATGAGATTTTCGAGTGAGTTAAGACTAATAAGTTGCGTTTACTGTGGTATTCCTTGCTAATCATAGCAGTTGTGGGGTGCTCTTCTCCCTGCAAGGAGCCACGGCATTTCCTTATAAGCTCTTCCGTGAGAGATCCTTCCCTGCTTCCATCCATCGGATCTCACACGTAATTTGACTTGTCGTTCATGAGAAGCTTGAGGTCAAACGGTCAGCTTGGACTGACTATTGTTGATTAGTTATTCGATCACAAATAGATGATTAGTGATCCTTCTCGACTACCAATTGGGTTGGTGAGTAGCAACTCGACCAGACATCAGACAAAGCACGGGATCAAATGCTTCAATGGTACATTTAGCCTTCTCCACGAAAATCCGTCAAGAACGTAACAAATAGAAGGCTGCTGATATTTCTTCTCCGATGTTCTTGCCAAGACTGACACGCGTCGATGACTGCATGCGCACTGCAATTCCGCGCACCTTGGTGAGAAAGTAACTAGCTAGACTGGTTACCAAGGGAAGTATAAGCAGCCATATAATACTTCTGATTGAATGGTTCGGTAGAGGCCAAGTGTCTCCTGGAATTTAATAAAGAGTCCGCTAGGAAGACAACCTCAGACCTGTCTTGGCTAAGAATACGCTTTGAGGAGCGTGTCAGACATGTGATGCACAAAACGCTTGATCAGTAATCGGTAGTGGCTATGATCTCCAGCTTACCAATCTTTGAAGACTCAGCCATCGTACCTCTTGAGGCGGGAGTAGCAGATCTCTCCATCAACTTTGTCCGCTGTGGTAGTCATTCTGAGCCGAGGGAACTCAGCGAATAAAAGTCACAGGAGAAGGATATTGACTCGTAGAGTTGTCACATAGCCTTATCTTATGTTGCATGTCTACTATGAACAGGTCGAGCTTCAACGCGCTTGGAAATATGACATTGTTGTTCTCGATGTAAAGTACTTTAGGCAGCAAATCTACCTACACAGGCATCATGTCGAAAACAGCCAACACCCTAGATCAAGTCCTCTTGAAGCACTCGATTATGCCATGCGGGTTGCCAGGAGATGTCCAGAACTCGGCTCTTCCCAGCCCGGCCCTGGCGAGGACATCTTTCCACACATCTCTCGGTCGTTCCTTGCCGCCGACACTCAGCATAAGAAGATCTATGGCGGCAGTATGAGCCGAAGGCGGGTTTGGCGTGATCTGTTCCGCGATCAGTAGACGACTATCCTGTGCCATGGAGCTTGCGATACAAGCCAGGATCTCCACCACCAAGTCGTCACTGTAATTGTGAAGACAGTAACGGATGTAGTACACAAGTGCTCCTGGTTCGCGTTAGTCATCGTTCTCAAAAGGGTTTGAGAGACTGCCGGCAAACCTTTGACTGGTTGCTCCTTGTGAAAGTCAATTGCCATCAACTTGGTATCACCAAGCGAGGCAATAGAATCCTGAGACTTGGTGATCTCACCAATGACTGTGTCAAGGTCTTGCAGAACACATCGATTCGATGGAATGCCATAGTTGTCGCATATGAGAGACATGGCATGACCGGAACCACCTCCTACATCGACAAAAAGGGGCCTATCCGCGGTTCCTGAATGCGCGGCATCTGAGATCCAGGAGAAGTCGTAGACGCCACATACCGGAAGAAGCAGTCCCATTGCCTTCATTGAACGTAGAAAGATTCTCTTGTCCTCAGGATTCTGGAGAGATACCTCCCAAACGTTCTTCTCTGGCTGGTCATATGCAAAGGTGTATGGAACATGGGTTCGGCCTCGTGGTTCTCGGAGCCCGTAGGCATCAAAGTACTTCTCGAACTGTGCGTACGACACCATGCCATGTACGAAGCTAAAATTTCAGTCGCTTGCAAGCAGACGCGTGGGTGACCGGCGTACTTACACGATTCTGGTGAGATCTCCATCTGGGTTGTCATTGATGAACATCTTGGATTTCTCGGTATGAGCCACAGCATCCTCACCTACTTGCCTTAGGATGCCCGTAGAGTTCAACATCCACGCGAGGCGAACTGAGATAGAAAGGTCAACAATGTTCCATGTACCTGAGTCTAGAGGTGATCTTACCGAGCAGCTGCAGCTCACATCCAACACTACTAGCCAAGTCCTTGTACGAGATGGATCCTTCTACTGGGATCTTTTGGAATACTCCCCAGGCATTGAAAAGCTGCTTTGCCGTCATTTCGCCGACCTTGATACAATCGTTCATAGCCCTCTCCCGTGGAGTGTCCTCTAGCTTATCGATAATGGTTTGCGCTCGTTGAATGATGCTGGACTTGAACTCCCGCTCATTCCTGGGAGTCAGGTCGCTGGCCGAGTCGTATGTACCCACGTCATTGAGTAGATCCTGAGCGAGCTTTCTGAGCCCCAAAGGGGCTTGGGCCGCGATTTCTCCCATATTGGCGAAGGGGTCTGATGGTCTATGATCAAATGAGTCGGTGGTTCCGAGTCTTTTTAGGACTTTCGGGAAGGGCTTTACAATATTGACACGCTGCGTGCTTGCGAACCGCTATATTTGTAGCTGGGAAGAGTGGAAGGCTTGGGTGTTCGTGAGGACTGACAAGCAAACATCTCAACCCAACGTCGCCAACGAAGGATCCGTTGGAACAGGGATCCAGATTGCGACAAACAAATACAAACAAACTACATGAACTTGCTGCAGACGATGCCAATCTCGCAGGGGTAATCCCTCGCAACTTGGTAATCGTCGTTTATTCTCCCAAGTTAAAGACCAATACTTCATGGTTTCATGGCGGGTGAGATTCCACGTAGGCCAATTCACTTAGACTGGGCTAAAATGGGTAACCTCAAAATGAGAAAGCGATTCTACATGATGTGCGTGCCTCAATTGCTGTACTCTGCAGCTACCAATTTGAATCACGCATCGATGAGACCAACGGCTGCCAAGTCGTCTATATCCCTACTAGCACATATACAGCGCATTCCAACGGGCACGGAAGCAACCCGCCTGTCATACTGAAGAGCGGCGGGACAAAGCTGCAAAATCTCCAAGCTTCAAAAACCATGAATACTCCCGAGAGAAAACGTGCATAGATAGTTATTTCGGCAGTGAAGTCTTCTATCAGCATGAACCGGAGTCGCACTCCAAATGTCCAACCAGCCCGGGTCTGAGATGCCTGGCCTTGATCCGGGATTCCGGAGCAATACAGAGCACCAAGGAGCTTCGCAATGTGCCCAACCATGAAGGAACGGCATCATCAACTAAGAGTAGGCATAGACACGAGTTACTGCTGAAATGTAAACATTCGCATTCTGATTCATCGTATCAAGTACTGACAAATAATACTCTCACGGCTTAGCCAGCACACCAGACTTGACTAACGACTCCAAAAACAACTTAATCGCTTCAACAGCAACCGACGCAAGATTTCCAGCCCCCTCATATGACGGATCAAACGAAGCAACCGTAAGAGAAACTGGCTCAGCCTTCTCTGAAATTGCCCCAAAGCACCCGATAATATCCTCCCTCAACAGCCCACCCGGCGCAGCAAACCGATTCGCGTGTCCTATGGACGTATCTAAAGAATCAACATCAAAATGAACCATCGTAGAACCAAGATTCTTCCGCTGCAACACGACCCCAAGCTCAGCCCCAAAATCAACCTTCTTCTCGGTGCTGCCCCAGATAACATCGAACCCGGCCTCTGCCACCCTGGCTCGCTCCAAGTCATTCACATCCCTCATACCAACATGCACCAACCGCTCCAAATTCATCGGCTGATGTCCCGGAACAGTCCCCAATAGACCCTTCCAACACTGCCCTGCGAGCATGGCAATCGGCATCGAGTCAAAGTATCCGCTCATAACGGTGTCGGGTGTATTAAAATCATCATGCGCATCAAACCACACACACCCCAATCCACCCTTCCCGACCCCTTGCGATGCGTGAAGTCCGGCAGCGACGCCAACAGCAGAACTGCAATTCCCTGCAAGAACAATCGGGAACGAGCCCCTGCGGCGTTCTTGCGCGACTAGCTTTGCAGTTCGTTTTATGACCTCGAAGCTGCGCCCGATTTCGCCTTCGTGGTCGTCTACCGGCTCGACTTTGATTTCACGGAGGGGAAGACCGAGGGAGCGGAGAGCGGAATCGAGGCCGGAGGTTTTGAGGAATGCTGGGCCGGCGCCGGGGCCTTTATTGTGGAGGCCGACGTGGTATGGGGAGAGGATGAGGGAGAGGGATCTGAGAGGGAGCTTTGACATGATGAAGGAATGGTATAGCGGATGAAGAGAAGTGGTTCAAGAGAGGATTGCGGCGGAAGATAATGTGGTCATTTAAGCGGTTGTTCACGGAGTACTCCGTTCATTCCGTTGATGATGTGGAGATGGGTGGTCGATGTGTCAACTCAAGGGCGCGATGACACGCCTATCAACTTTTTGACTGGCGCGGAAAACTTCCTAGTTCATCCAAGGTTTTGCGAGGATACAATCATCCAGTGTCACAGTTGGGCAAAGTCAAGCAATGAAGAAGGCTGCATGTTGAGGCTTGTTGTAACAAACATTACTAAGTAGACTGCATTTCTTGGATATCTTTTCATGCCACTCCATCAATCTGCTCGCTATGAACAAAGGAAACCTCCGAGGTATACCATTCCAGTCTCTCAGGGCATTAAGAAACAACACTTTTCGTACAACTCACATGTCCACTCAATGATGTCCCGAAGACTTGGACCCGGCAACACTGACAGGACTCACAAGGCTGATCCTGCTCAACACGCTCCCCGCCTTTCTCCGTATCCTGCTCTCCCGGACCGGCGTCGGGGCGGTCGACACGCTCAAGGGACTAACCACATCGCCGTCCTCATTCTCATTCTCCGCAACCTCGCGGTTCTCGTCGCCCTCCTCATCCGTTCGACTGCTCCCAGTCGTCATGCTCTCCATACTGCTCCCATCATGCTGAACAGCAAGACTCAATCTCGGCCTCCTCGGACCCTCCAGCTCGACAGGCGACGCTGGCCTCCTCACCCGGACGCTACCTACTCCGCTGACGGCGCCCTCAGCAATAGAGTCCATGAGCGGCAGCGGCTGCGCAGTCGGGTTGCGATAAGCCTCCACCGAGCTGGATGAGCTGGCGCTTGTACTGCTCAGCCCGCTCTGGTGAGATGCCTTTTCGCGAATCACTGTTGTGCTAAGTCGCTTCAACCCGCGACTCCATGCGGGATGCGACTTGGGCGAGAGGACCTCGGCAATGGTCCTTCTCTTGGCGTCACGCATCTTGCGGGCTACGAGCTCGAACTGCTCCGCCATTGTCGGGTGCGCCATGATCTCTTCCATCGAGATGGTTAGGTTGTGAGTCCCGGGAAGGCCCAATTTGGGCAGTTCCTGAGTAAGATACTCGGCGAGTTGGGCTGCAGGCATCATGCTGCCCCAAAGATCGTAGAACGCTGCGTTGGGGAGCTGTGTTTCTGGAACACCGAGTGACCGAGGGTCCAGAACCTTTGTCCAGACCTTGGAGATACCTAGCTGTACGGCCTTGCGGTGATCTTCGGACATGGAAGAGCCGGCATTAGTTGGCTTTGTCTCCATGTCCAGTTGAGGTAAGGGGATCTGCGGCGGGACGGCGCAGTAGTCCGCCGAGGAAGGAATGAGCGGGTGGAGCATGGAAACCGAGGTAAGAAGCTCGATGCTGGAGCACAGCGCTTTGAGTGTCTCATTGGCAAACAAGCCGGGGATGCGGTTCTCACAGAAGGTAATGGAGATGTCTCCGCTGCTCGCATCTTCCTGCGTAGAAATGACGTGCAGATCGTAGACGTCTCTGCTGATGGGTTCTTGAACGCTGAACTTGCATTTGATTGTGCCGAGGTTGAAGACTGCTGCTTCCTTGGCGGCATCCTGATGGCGGTGCTCGACGACCGTGCTGAAGCGTGTCCAGTACGGGAGCTTGGTGCACTTCTCGACGATCTCGAGCCAGCCCATATTCTCGAACGGAATGCTCATGACACGCTGGCCATGAACATACCTGAGAAGCTCGAGGGGGCTGCTCAGCGTCTCTGCAAATCGCACGCGGACTGGTATGGCGTTTGATACTGGGCCAAGAGTGCCGGAAACATCGGACCCATCGGACAGCCTGAGGTGTCTTCCCTCGACGATCTCACCAAACAGAACGTCGCCTGAGCCAGAAAGGTTAGCCAGGACCATGGCCCAAGCTGACTTGACGACGGTGTCAAACGAGATGCCCAAGTTGGCCAAGGACATAACCGAGACCTTCTGGGTTATCACCTTGACGTTGGTGCTCATGGGAGGTGGCCTGCTGTGGGCAACGACCTGGGTCATCTTGGCACCATCCAGCATGGTTGACCAGTGATCCTGTGCGCCAGTGGCATGGGCCAACTGCGCAGAGCGGACGAAGTCAAAGTAGGTGGCCCTTCGCGGCGGACAGGAAGGCGCAATATAGATGCTCTTCAAGTGCTGCAGCAAAAGCGAGATGGAGGCGTCGTCGTACTGCGCTCCAGAAAGTCGCAAGACAAGATTGGACTGCTTTCCAGCGTCGACGAAGAAGAACTTGGTCATGGGAACCTCCAGGTTGAAGGAGCCAGTCTGGTCCCTCTTGATCAACTTCTCCGTCATCGCCGATACCCTCCATGTTGGAACCTCAATCCTTTTGAACTCTGGGACGAAAGACTTGAATGCGACCTGGTAGACCCGCCTTTCGTGGGAGACAAATGCAGTCCGCAGGATTGGGTGGATCTTGGCGAGGCAGATGCAGACGGCCTCGAGCTTCTTTGTCTGTACTGCACCGGTGAAGCTGAAGGTGAAGTAAGTGAGGCTCGAGCTTCCTTTGAGTAGACCGGTCTCGAGGAACTTGAGTTGAGTGGCAGAAGCTTCTGCAACATCGTTGATGGCATCTCGTTCGACGTTCAGCTTCGGAGCAATTACATCGTTGATAAACTGCTCCTCAAAAAGCGTCTCCGAGGAGGATCCCAAGGACGGAGCGGCGGTTCTTTCGGGTTCCGCAGTCTCGAGAGCGTAGTCTGAGCTCAGTGTTACACCTTGGCAAAGCTCTGTGAGGGTAGCGCCACGCAGAACATCCGGCAGAGCAATAATGAGCCCTTGCTTGCGACATGCGACGACAAGTTGGCCTGCGAGGAAGCTCTGGCCGCCCAGCATGGGGAAGCTCTGGTTGCCTCGGATGCCTGAAGCCTCTACTCTCAGGAGAGTCGCCCAAATTGATCTCATACGTTCTTCAACCTGGGTCAGCGGGAGGGGCTTGATGCCAACCGCGCGGACTTCATCGGGCGATGCGACTGAGGAGAGAGCCTGCAGCTGTTCTTGTGACAGCCAGCCGACCATCTTTTGGAGCTTGCGGCGGTTGACCTTCAACGACGGTGTGACGGGAAGGTGCCTGACGGGAACGAAGATTGTCGGCATCATGTGTGATGGCAGACTAGTCCCCAACGAGGACTCGATGAGCTTCTTCGCAATGTAGGTGCGCTCTTTGGTGGTGATTGTGATCCTCGTAAGATCCTCCGATCCTTCAAACAGCTTCTCTCCAAGCTCGACAAATGCGGCAAGGGATGGTTGCGCATCGCGGCTGATGATGGATTCAACTGCGAGATCAACGCCTTGGCCTAGACATCGGCGGAGCTTCTGCTCAACTTCAGCAACTGGAATGACTTGACCATTGATTTCAACGTCGTCGCGGCCACTGGAGACGAAGTCAAGCAGACCATCCTCCATGTACCGGACACGATGGCCAGTCTTAAAATAGCGTGTCCGAGGTTTTCCATCCTCGAGCGATACGTCGGAGTCCTGAGGTAGATGTGCCAAGGGCTGGCCGGGGACGAATCGATGCGCCAGGGTGGGGCTTTCAATGATGAGCTCGCCAATAGCCCCAATAGGCATCAGCCTACGGTGATCTTCGGGGTTGACAATCCAGAATCTCCCCAGGAATGGAGGCGCGACTCGGGTGAGATCTGCAGCTTTCTTGACCTCCAAGACGGAGATACCGAGAGGGCAAATATCAGGAGCGCCGTAGGCGAGCAGGACTTTCGTCTTGGCTACCCAGGGCGCGCAGGTGTCTTCGTCCAGACGTCGGGTTCTGAAGCAGATGGTCCTCAGGCTGGGGATCGCAGCAGGTGAGATCTTCCGTGCCAGGACTGGTGTCATGTAGGACCAGTTGACGTCCATCCTTCGAGCTGCACCGACAATGTCGCTGGTTCTCTCAACAGAAGAAGGTACACAAACACAACCACCATGCACCAATGTCGAGAGTAGTTCGATCAAGGCGGTATCGACATTGAAAGACGACAGCTGCATGACACGACTCTCTTGGTTGAGGTTGAGAGCGCGACCCTGTGTGACAAATGCGGAAGAAAGAGCTGCGTGGTGGAAGATGATTCCCTTTGCCTCTCTACCTCGGGATGAGCCTGGCGAAAGAAGAATGCAGGCGGCGTCATTTGGCGCGGCCATGGGCAAGGGCGCCTCCAGTGAGAAGTCAACCTCAAAAAGAGTGTCATCCACGACCACGACTCCATCGACAATGGCCTCCAAATTCTTCCAAAGTATGTCCGTTGCGATGACAACCTTGGGCGAGAGCTGGCGGATAAATGTCTCAACATTGGCTCGATCCTCGGCGTCAATGGGCACAAAGCAGCCACCGGCCTTCAACACGGCCAGAATACTGATGACTGCCCACTTGTTCTTGTCGAGAATGACCGGCACAGGAACGCCGGGGCGAACACCCCATTGAGTGAGGTATGTGGCCAGGCGAGAAACGAGGCGGCCAACCTGCCTGTACGAGAGCTCGCCGTCCCAGGCGCAGATAGCCTGAGCATCTGGACGGAGTCGTGCTTGCTGAGAAATCAGGGCGTGGACACAGCCAGGCAAGGGCTCGGTCGTATTCTCAGCTCCCCAATCCCGGATCAATAGTTGTGCATAGTCTCTATCAGTGAAGAGGTCGATACCGCTGAGGGCACCTTCCGGGCTTCCAAGTATGGCGATAACAGCACGCCCAAAGGTATTCGTAAGGTTCTGAGCTTGAGAGGGAGTCATGAGCCTGTGAGACACACCCGTAACAAGCTGTCCATTGACAAGAGTCAAGGAAAATGTGACGTCAAAGTCGGGAGTGTTGAAAGCCTGAATGCAGGAGAGCCTCATGGGGGGACGTGTAGAGCTGAAGCGGCTCTTGAGCTCGTGAGGCTCTTCCTGGTAGGATAGGCACGTGTTGAAGAGCTGGTCGCCCTTGAGGCCCAACGCGTGCTGAATCTCTGACATTGGTACGTACTGGTGCCGGCTGCAAGCGGCAGAGTCATCTTCGACGGATTTGAGGACCGTTGCAACGGATTTGTGGTTTTCAAGTCCAACTGTACATGCCGTGGTGTTCTCGAAGGCGCCGACTGAGAGAATCAAGCCTTCGGGGGCGTCTCCTGTATCTCGGCCTGACGAGCGGTAGCCAAAGCAAACTTGACTTGAGCCGGTGAAGGCGCGCAGGACAAGTGCCCAAGCCATGCGCATCATAGTCGATCGACTGATGCCTTGTGATCGACAGAACTCATCGATCTGAGCCACCGGTGATTCAATGTGGAAGTTTGTGTGTTGCATAGTGTTGTTATTTACTGTCATCAGGCGCGGGAATAAACATGGCCGTGTTTCTTGAAGGCGGCCTATCCAGAAGTTGAGGCTGTTTTCTTGTCGCGCAGATGAGATGTATTGGATGCATGCAGCGTGGGATGGATCAAGCATCTTCATGGACAGCTTGCTAGAGTTGTACATTCTCTTCAAATCCCACACAATGTTTTGAAGACTGAGAGCCTAGGGAAGCGTTAGCGGACGTTTCAATCAAGCGGATTATCAACTCACATCACAGAGCGCATGGCTGATGTCAAGCCTCAGGAAAGTGCTCGCGTGCGACTTGCACACTGACACTCGATGGCGTGGATTGGACGGCGTCGGACTCATCGGTGGCAAGGCATTGAGAACAGCCACAGGGTCTGTTCCTGCTTCGGCGTCGACGAAAAGCATATCTGGTGAACACTTCCGTAGGATGACCTGATCGAAAAGACCATTCTCGGAAATGCTATCGATGAAGACAGTCCTCAGAGCAGGGTACTTTGCGACAATCTGCTGCCAAATGGTGCAAATCTGAGCCTGGTCAGCGAGGACGCCGTTCGGGGATGACAGCTCGTAGATGGCGTTGTTGTGGCACGTCTCCAGATCTTGGGTTTGGCTGATGAGGATCTCCTGCTGCAGCGCTGTGACGGGGAGGACGTCCTCAATATCCCGAGCACTGGATAGGCCGAGTGCAACCAATCGGTCGGTATTGAGTTTCGCCAGGCCCTCATATGTTGTGTCGAGCATGGGAACGTCGGACAGAGTGAGTTCTTGGCCACGGTATCGCAACCTGCCAATGGCTTCGTAGAGCAGGTGCTCATACATTTGAATCCAGTCGGCAATCTTATCCTGGTGGTTGGAGTTTTTGTTGTAGACGATCTGGACGGAAGCTGAACCTTGGTCGACCATGGCGGAGACCTCAAATAGAGCAATCCTAGACACGCTGGAGCCAATGTCGGCTGCGTCCGTTGACCACAGCCTTCCGGGGATGGTGAGTTGCTCGAGAACGCCCTTTTCGCGCTCCAACTGTTGGACGGATCCGGCATAAGTGAACATGATCTCGAAAGGCCAACCTTCAGTGCTCCGAGTCGCGGCTTCGGGACCAAAATACCGAGAGGCGAAGTAGTTCCACCCACGACGAGGAATCGATCGTCTCGTATCTTTCATCTTGCGCAAGATGTTAAGAAAGTCGTCGGCCATGTCGACTGGCATAGACACAGGACACAGTGACGTGAACCAACCGACGGTCTCTGTGATGTCGATATCCTGACTCCAAGGTTCTCTGCCGTGCTCTTGGTTCCACACAACAGGTGCTTTACGGTCGTGAAAAGTCTGACTGAATGAGAGTAGGAGAGCCGCCATGTAAATGTCTGACATGTCAGTTTTGAAGACCTGGTTGCATGCTGTGTGAAGAATCGCTGTGAGTTCTGGGGTGAGAGTGAAGCTTGCAACTGAGATTTCGGCATAGGTATTGTGTGAGTCCTCGAGACCCCAGTAACCGTACTCGCCGCTGGGCAGGTCGTAAGGCATCACTAGCTGGTCTGGATTGTTGCTGATGTATTCTTCTTGAAGCTCATTCCATCGTTGAAACGGCATGGAACGCTCAGAGAACAATGTGCCCTCTCGTAATAACTCGTCAAGGTCGTGAATAATGATACGCCATGACATCATATCCACGACGAGATGGTGAGCGAGAAGGTAAACAAGCTGCTGGCCGTCATGAGTGCGGAAGTGGTCAACTGAGAAGACTGGTCCGGTCTCGATGTTGATACTCGACTGTGACTGTGCGATGATGTCCATTACCTCCTCCGTCGTGCTCACCGAGTGATAGCGGAACCCATAAGACCCGTCAACTTTGGGGATGATTCGTTGTGTCCAGCCTTCCACGCCAGGCCTGAAACGAGCGCGTAGCATAGAGTGATGGCCGACGACAGTTGCAATGGCGGCGTGAATATCTTCCAACGTTGAGTTGTTCTTGACGCGAAGCAATATGCTTTGGTTGAACCGGTAGCCACCGTCAGAGTCCATTCGCTGCTCGATGCGGCCGCCGATGCCGGTATCGAAATAAAGCTGTTGTATCGGCGACAGCTTGAAGCCTTCTGTAGATTCCTCGTTCCATGTGTCGGTGCGGTGATTTTTGCGGTATGCGAGTGATGCTAATTGCCCCAAAGTAGGACATTGGTGAACGTCTTCGGGCCTCACTGTGATGGACTCGGTTCGACATGCCGCAACTAGCATCATGGCTGAAATGTCATCGCCGCCGAGTTGACCAAATGAGAAGTTCATGCCGACTTGCCGTTGCGGTATCCGGAGAACATCGGCGACCTTCTTTTGCATAACTCGTTCCATCTCGGTCAAAGGCTCCTGGAAGAGCTCGTGAGACTCGAGACTCGATATTTGGTGATACATGTCTTCGTTGATGTTCTGAATCCATGTCTGCAGCCGTCTCCGGTCGACGGAGCCCTCCCCGTTTGAAGGCATTTGATCAAGCACGATCCATGAGTTTGGCACAGAATGAGATCCTTCCGAGGTTTCGAGAGCCAGTCGTACAGCTGCGACCTGGCTTCCGGCAAAGTGCATCTGTGATTGGGGAATGAGTCGGATGCTGGACAGACTGGTTTGCGAGATCCGGCCCGACGCCAACGTCAAGAAGGCCACGAGTTTACCCTCCAAGAAACCAGCCTTTGGTCTAATTACAGCTGCACTCCTAATCTGGGGGGTAGACTGGATGAATCGTTCGATTTCGGAATATGGTGATTTTATTGGTGCCGCGTCGGAGCTGTTGCTGGAGTCGCACGAGGAAGTTGAGCAGGCGCTGTTTCGTCTGGGACTTGAGCTGAAGACATCGGAGGGAGATGTGCTGCTCTCTCCTTCGGAGTCCTTGTCCTTGGACACAGGCGCGGTCTGAACGAAGGGGGTGATGCAGGTCTGAAGCTCCGCCAAGGTTTGACAGCGTAGAATGTCGCTCGTCCTCAGTCCTAGTCCGAGGCTCATGCACTTTTTCCTGAGGGCGACGGCAGTGGGTCTGTCGCCGCCCAAGTCAGAGAAGGAGTCGAATAATTCTATGCTATTCCTCGGCAAACTTAGCACGCTGGCAGTTGCTGAGAGAAGTCTATCTTCGACAGACTCTGTGTGGAATGACGACATTGTTGTGTCGATTTTGGGGAGCGGTTTTGGGCTGACTGAGTCGGCCATATTGGATGTGTGTGTGTGTAAGTGCTCGCTCGGTCTGGTCTGAAGAAGAAGGGTAAAGCTGGGTGGATAGCTTGGGAGGGGTATCTCAAAGATGCATGAACACAAATAAAGAAGGCGACCGAGCAGAGGCGGCCAAGTAACACGGATCAAAGATTGGTCTCTGACGAGGGTCAAAGATGCTCAAAAGGCGATGTCGTTGGTCGGACGAGATGAGCAATCTCAAGCTTGGGGGCGCCGATTCTAGGGGCTTGTTTGTTGGAACTCGTCTTTGAAGATGCAATGTGATGAAAGAGCCAACGGGCGAAGGAATGTTACACACACAAAGGCCGAGAGAAGATGATTCAAGGGCCGGAGCAAGAAGAGATCACAGGAGAAGAAATCGAGACGGGGGAGGAGGGAGAGGGAGAGGGTGAAATAATGCAAAAAAGACAGCATTCTGGCAGCTCTACTCGTCCTTCAGATCCTTCTCGCTCACTAGAGGAAGAGAGTAAGACCAGCGGGCCGGAGGAGCTTTGGTTCGCAAACAGATCAAAGTCGGCAAGGTACCTAGTACCCGTACGGCGAGGCAGGGCAATATGTGAGTGATGGTAATACCCAGCTGGCAGTGACCCAGGAACCGGCATCATGTAGGTCGAGCTTCCCTGGCCCCGGCCCTTCTGACGTGCTGGGGTCCAGCTTGGGGAACAAGAAAAGGTGGGGGAGCGAGAGGCGTAGGTAGGTATCCTGGGTGGTGGGTGGTGGGTGAACACGCAGACTGAATGAGTGACTAACGAGATGAAAGACAGGATGGTGAATGGTGTGTGCGAGTGCGACCACCTCAGTTGGGTGCGTGAGTGCGTAGGAAAAAGGTGCTGAGGTCAGGTATGCCGCGCCACGCCATGGCATGCCATGTCACGGCCTGCCGCGGGCTGGATCTGCATACCCGCGTCTTGCTGGAGGTGGAACGCAACGTAGGGGCCGGGGGGGACCAGGCATCCGCGAAGAGACAGACCCATTAGGCTGGAGTAGGTACTGGGGGCTCACAAGTAGCTGTAGATGCTGATGTTGGTGAGATGCGAAGATGCTACCTACTCTGTAACGGTGAGCCGGGTATGGACGAATTGGGAGTGATTCGACAGTGACCATGTGCAGGACTGATGGTCAAGGATAGGACGAAGACGCGTGCTCCGCCTCGTCAGTGTCCTGTTTGGTCCACTGCACCCGAAAAGCGTCCTGACAACCTAACATAGTGGTATCTTTGCGTTGCCGTGTAAATGGCTATGCAGATAGTGTCCCGTCTCCGAGCCACACGGGGAGGAACGCAGCCGCTCTCTGCAATCAAACCGATGGTAGGAAACGCGGCATGGAGAGTCTAATCAGCAGGGTTGGGGCATGCCCAGTTTGGATCTGGGCTGAGCGAGACTGAGAGGAGGTGTGCACGGTGTGGTCCCAAACGGTCGACAGACAGCTTGCGGCACGGCCAATGCCATGTCTCTGGCAACGATTGCTTGACGATGGTGGAGTGGTTTGCCGCAATGGTGCGGACGTTGAAGCTCGGCTTGCGCTTGCGTCGTCTGCAGACTGCAGTAGATGAGTGACAGGGGCAGAGAAAGGCGATCGTCTTGGAGGTGAAGAATGGAGAGACAGACAACAACGAGGAGGAGGAGGAGGAGGAGGAAGAAACGAAAAGTACGTACATTTTCCTTGCATCAAGTACGTATCTTTAGCCACAGTACGTACCGGTGCCGTTTCGAGGATACTCTTCTCGCTCAGCCACATATTCCAGCTATCTTGGGCCAATCAAAGACCTCAGGAAAGCATCTGGGGATGGTCGGTACCTCATCAGCCACAGTACCCGAGTACCGGTACCCAAGCTGCACTAGCCACAAATGGATAATCGGCGAGATTCGCGAGTTGGTTTGGTATTGTTGGACAAGGTGACATTGAACGAGCATTGGACATCCATCATCATGCAGCACAAGGTGCTAAATCCAACAAGCGCCGGGACACTCACAGAACTTTGGTGCCCTGCGGCTATGCTTGTGGTGCCTTGCGTTAGCGAACGGGGCTGAGTCTCCACGCTGCGCAACTCTCCCAGCTTACCTTCCGGTGGCATCTTTTTTCAGTGTGACTTACACTATGGTGATGCACCACGCAGCTCTCGTCTCTTCAGGAATAGAAACGGCCCAGTCCAATAGTCTTTAGCTGTGTCCCGTCCACATGCAAGACGATACGCCGGCATGATGCTGGAAGACGCGGTCTTCCGGTGTGTCATCTCCAGTGAAGAACGGCGGTCTGTCGCCACGCTCCTTGGGTTGCTTGATTGTCGGTCTCCTCTTGTCTTCGGTGTCCCGAAAAGGTAACCTTCTTTCAGCATCTTCATCAGCAATCACCTGCTTCAACTCTCACCTATGCAAAACTCAAATCTCCAACTCGGTCCCTCACCTTCTAGGTACTTCAGCTCACCCGCCCCGTTGAAACTCAAATCTCGCATCCCCTCCGTCTTACACATGCTAGGAGGCTGGAGTAAAGGGCACCATCGCCGTGCAGTCAGACTGTCAACTTTTAAGAATATTACTAAAATGTGACCCTCCTCTCCTCACTCGCGTCCTCGGCCTCGGCCCCGAAAGGACCGGCATAATTCGCAGGATGGTAAACTTTGGGAACCAGGAACAGTTGACTCTCGTAATCAATTCCTCCGTTTTACCTTCTATGCCTCCTCTCTCAGCCTCTCTCTCTCTCTCTCTCTCTCAGATAACCACTTCCGCCCATGATCGGACGAAACCTCGTCTACTCGGCACGTCTTTGCGCAGTCAGCATCAGTGGCCAGAACCACCTCAATTCAGGTCCAACCCTGTTATTCAATGGCAATGTCAGCGAGGCCTCTTCATCTTGACCTTCATAATCCGCATCCACTTCCTGGAGAAACTGTTCAATTCCCATGTTTCAACGCCTCCCATTTTCTCCAGTTTTTTCCGACCACTGCCACCTTTATGCCATTGAGACGTATGTGGCGTACGCGGCAGCAACCCTTCGGTTGCTTGAAGGCTGCTGTCAACGTCAACCTCCAACACAAAAGCCCCCAAGGCACGATGTTACTGTTGCTTTGAAGCTCTCTCGAAGGGGAACAGGTACCAGTTACAGACAGATCCACCCCACGCAGCAAAGAACAAAGACCCCAAACCGCCTCACAAACCCCCCAACACTCAGTTTACCCAACCATGATGATTCAAAACATAACGGCAAAGACTCTAGCAGCAGCGGCAAAAGTAGACGAAAATAATCTCCAACGAAACACGCATGCAAGCTCATCTGACCCATCTGACCAAAAGTTTCAAACACTGGTAGGCCTGACACCGATGCAAAGGAGAAAAAACAAAAAAGAAAGACAACCAGCTGAGCAAAGCTTCCAAGCTTACCCACCAGCTCTAACAAAGCGTCCTCCTCCACACGGGCCCATGCCCCCTTCTAGCTTGACACTCCCGTCCGACATCGACTCTCGGGCTCTCGCCCTTATCCTCCATTTCCCGACGGCAGCAGGGGGCCTCCATAGATGTATCCGCCTTGTTCCTCCCATCTTCCGCAGAGACGAGGCACCTACCAACCTAGGTGACTAAGTAATTATCATGAGTTCCCCCCCAAAACGAACTGTGGTTGTCTGAGAAAGGGGAAACCCCTAAAACTGTAATTGGAACTCTCTACTCGAAAGGAGTTTCCAGGATCGGTCTCGGCCATTGTCGGCCAACCTTATGATAAGCAGCACATGTCCCAAAGAAGAAGAAAAGGCATTGACTTCGGTCGAGAACTCATCCTTGATCCAAAGCTCGCCACATGATGGGGGAACTGCCAAGCTGCATGGGAGGTCGCCTCCCCATCCGACGGATCTCATTGAACCGATCTGTCTCTCCCGTCCATCTTGAGCCGAACCGATTGCTTTGTACAAGGGAGTAGACCGAGGCCCGGTTGGATTCTTATTCTGTTGTCTTCATCCGTGAGCTCATACACGGCGGTGTAAGTCGTGTCCATCCACGTTGCCCCATCCTCATAGGACCTCATAGGATAACAAGATCGACAGTATACGAATGAGGTCTCAACGAACACACCAGATATTCGCTCATTTTAGGTGTTCCTTGACCAACCGTCAACGAAGCATGCCCAAATCCTTCCACTGTCGATCTTCTAATGCCTCCGGCTCCCGCACCTCCGAGCGCATCCGTCTCCTGCCCCTCCACCTCCGCCCCGCTCCCACACGGAAGTCCGGCGTCGCCATGTGTACAACCAATCCACCAGTCCTCCTCTGAACAACCTCGCGAAGGCACATTTGACGTTCAATAGCTTTGCACGCTTGAACTTTGCTACATTCCATACATGTTGACTCACATGTATACGTGACAAACGGTCAATTCAAATTACAAGTGAAGTAGCAAGCAATACCACTGCCTAGCCCCCACGCAGCGCTGGACAAGCCGCCCTTCCCAAGTGACGCCAAGCGGCAATCTCACCAACTCCACTACCACCTCGCCCGCGGAAGCGCGCAAAAAGAGATTCGACCCAGGCGGTGTCTCCCAGGGCATCCGCGGTAACGGGCGGTTATCGAGTGGTGTGCATTGCGCCCGCCGCGTTGGGGGGTGACACTGACGGCACGATCGAACCGCCCGAGAGAGGGCCAGGTAAGCTGCCCATGTCCACTTTACGGAAGTACAATGGTATCAGTGCAGGGCTGATGGGACGGGACCAAATCGACGCAGTCAGACGGCACAGCAACAGCATTGAGGGATGTGTGTACGGTGGTACCTGAGAGACTTATGGTGACGGGCGCGCCTGGTTGAGCAATCAGATCACCGGGTGGAGTGGTCTTGACGATCCTGCTTTCTCGCCATGGACCACGGGTTCGTCGCCAATTACTGCACTGATGATATCATGAGTATTGAAGCAATCACGCTTGCGAACATTGGCAGGTAGCCGAGATGAAAACCAGTCATGTTTGCCATGTGCATTCGACGGGGGCAATGTTGTCTCTTGGACAACATGGTGTACCTCATTTGGGTTGCCAGTGGCATTGGGGTGGAACTGCGCATTCCTGTCTCTCGAGGGAATGCATACGCTCTAAGATGAGGCTTCCCGAAAACGCTCCGACCTGAGTGAGACCACATCGGCGATGGGGTAACGGAGTTTAGAGAGGTGTCTTGTCTCTGGGTGCCGATTATCTTGAATGTGAATAGGTCCCAACTCGAGTGGGTGTGGATTGTCGTCCTGCCGACAAGGGGAACCATACGTCTTGCAGGTCGACTTTCCACTCATCTTATTCATGAAGGGTAATTTAAAGGCTATTGAGATAGTGACCAAGTTCCTGGTCCGTTTATGCTGGAAGCATTGTCCAATGATGCAATATTGATGAATCGACAAATAAGTTTGCTGTACCTGCACTGCACCACCACTTCTCCCCACGTAGGGCATGCGACCTCCTTTGTGGCAAACCCGTCTTTTACTGTATTCTCTATGAACATCAAACACGTAGCTGAAGAAGTTGCTGCACTGATAGTCCCATTCAGAAGTCAGTGTTGATGACGAAGCAGCGAGTCCAGAAATGGAGACCTTGATTGATCATGTGCCCGCGCAACGACGGCCGACTTCTCCCATATAGATTTCATTAGAGGTCCATGAGACTGCGAAATGGTTTCCAGATACTACATTAACAATCTTTGCAGTTGGTGCCAATATTGTGCCATCTCTGTGATCCGGCTATAAGATGTTCAAACCTGGCAGACTTGCATCCATACCGAACACATTGAGTTGGAGATCACTCGTTCCCGCTCAGACTTCGAGACCACCGCACTAGGTTGCCTTTTAGAATATACGAATTGAGCCAATGAATCTACCCAGTGAGTTCTGACAGCTTTAAATGCCTAAGAGGGTCTTGATATCCCTCCCAGAAGCCTCTCCTCATTGGACATGCTGTGGGCTGCTTGTAGCAATGACATAGCAAAGCAGTGGTTTTCGAGACCGTAATAGCTCCACTGCGTCTACGGCAGTGTTTTAATCATCTTTTACAGTTGAAATGCCTCTGTAATCGTTTCTTAGGATCCGGCTTCATCTCAACCGCTCTGATACTTCTCAGATGTGTACACCATGCAACTCAGCTCACACCCAGATTCAGAATCGCAAAGTCCAAGTCAACCAGGATGTTTTGCGGAACTGGTTTTAAATAAACTAGCCTCCAAAGTACTTGGTACCTTAGTGTTGAAGACGTTTAAGCGATTGAGAATATCCCGGCGGTGACTGCCGATATGTTCACCCCAGAGTTGTATTTCAGACTTGAGCCCCAAGAGCACCGTAACACCGAGAGCACGTCAGAACGCTTGAATCAAACAGGTCCTTTGTGAAGGCCAATTTTTTAGGTTTAGCAACCTTGTTTAACCGCCCGGAAAGGAGGCTAACAAGACCGGGGTTCTTTACCATGGATCATTGGTGAAGTTGGTAAAAGCAGTAGTTGGAAGTCTTCCGAACCAACGAACAGTCACAGTTTTCATGATACGACCATGTCCACTATCGCCTTGGAGCACACCGTTGAACAGTCTAGCTTGGATCAACTGAAGATATTCTGATCGCTCGTAATCAGCTCTATTTTGCAAGTCATGCGGCTTCATCACAACCTTGCCCCAACGCCAACATCGTAACATGACTCAAATCAACAAGACACGCGGCGTACTAACATCAATCCACCTGAACTGTACACCGTCCAACACGAACCTCCATCCCCAACCCATCTTGAGTATCAATCCACTACATTACGCCTTCCAAGCAGTCTTCCTCAACCAGTCCCCAACAACCCTCATAACCTTAACCGCCTTGGCATTCCCATCCCTCACACTCTCCGGATCCGACACCGCAGCCCCCATCTCATGAAAATCAAACGCGTGAATCACATCCGGCACCAACAACCACTTGACACTGCCCCTCCCATCCTTCACCTCCCATCCAAACCTCTCGTCCCCAGACTCCACCAACTCCTGCGTCTTGGCCACCTCGTTCCTGCCCGCCATCCCGGACGTAGGCTTCCCCTTCCCGCCGAGCTTACACGCCAGCTCCCACGCCTCGTAGGCGAGGTAATCCAGTTCCGCCGCGACGATACACACGTTATCCGGAAAATCGCTCCTCTCAGCATACAGCGGCGAAATCCGCGTGTCGCGTAGGTTCGTGCCGTAGGGGATGTAACTCCAATCAAACACTTCCGCAAAATCCAGCACGAAATCCTTCTTCTGACCGCGGATACCAGGTAATTGCCCAACTTTATACGGCCTCCGATTCCTCTTCGACGGCGTCGGCGTAACAAAGTCCGTGGGCGGGTAAATCGGCACAATCGCCTTTGGCGCAGCCGTCTTGTGCTCCCTCACGCTCTTCGTCTGCGAAAGACACAGCGTGAGGTTCCCGCCCGCGCTGAACCCGCCCATGGCGATGCGCGACTTGTCAATGGGGAGGGACTCGTCGTCGACGATGGCGAGGTAGAGGGCCTCTAGGTCGTGGAGGGCGTGCGGCCAGGGCGCCCAGGGGGCTTTCCAGTAGTGGAGGGCGATGACGAGGCAGTTGTTGAGGTCGGAGAAGGTGCGGTTCCATTCGTCGTCGTCGTCCGGAACGCCGATAGAGAAGCCGCCTCCGTGGATTGTGAAGAGCGTGGGGAGGGTTTGCGGGGAGGTTTGGTCGTAGTCGGAGGGGAAGAAGATGCTGCGGCGGGTTGGTTAGCTGTGTCTTTATTTCTTTGACGACTTTTGAATTTCGTGTTTCTGCTTATTGGAAGGGAGAACATACCGAACGGGCAACGCCTTTCTGCAGTCATACTGCTTGATAAGATCGGGCCGTATGGCAGGTGGCCAAAAGTACGATCTCCATGCCTCAAAGCCTGCCTTTTGAAAGTACCAATGCTGTAACGTCGAAATCTTAGTGCCGTACACGATGCGGTTGAGCATCGAAGGCGCCTGCTGGTACACCGGTTTCCCGGACTCTGCGTTGCCTGCTACACCCATATTTGCCATGTCTCGGAAGGGAGGTCCTTCACACCTTTGCGACAAGGGTGCTGTCGACGTTATATGATCACTGCCAATGCCCGTTCAAACTCGTAGAACGGAATGACTGAAAAGCTGTTCGCCGGTGACGTTACGGAGTCGGAGAGGTCAATGGTCCCGAGACAACGAGAGAAAAAGAATCTGCCAGAATAACAGAGCGCATTAGCCGCGACGTGTCCTTTCTCATAAACGGACGAACGACTTCAGGCTGGGACGGGACGAGAATCAGCAGCAGAACGACAGGAGCCACAGAGAGGCGTCATTGTGCGTTTTGACGTGACTTGAAGGCAGAGAGAGAGAGAAGGAGGCCTGCTCGGCGTGCCGGAGTCTCGGTTTCAAGAGGGGTTCTTCCTTTAGCAAAAGGGAATGGCCTGATGTTCGAGCTTGCTTGCGTCCGGGAATCGCAAAGACACCGAGTACCCGGACGAACGATGACCAAGGAAGGCAAAGGAGCACGGGCGGTGATGACGGTGATGGCGAAGGAAACACGGCTAGACTTACATGATTGATAGTGGCGTAGATGAATTGCGACGGATGAGAAGATGTAGAATCAGGCACTTTGGTCGTGTAAATCAGAATCGTAGTCAGTCAGCTCGATGATTGCTTGCTGATTCGCCTGGCTTCTCAATCCCAGGTCCTTACCTCATCATACTGCCCTCTCACTCAATGTCATGCTATACCGCAGTCCCATGAAGACACCCATTTGCTTTCTTCTCCCACCAGGAAACAAGAACGGGGGAGTGGGAGGGTCCAGGGGTGCAGAGTGCGTGGTCACGTTCATGCTACAGCTTGCTTGCCCGGCACGTCAAACAGCTAGGTCGGGGGGGCTCAGGCACAAGGTCTGCGCATTGTCGGACGGGATGCATGTTGCCTGTGCTTGACTCCAGTGCGTGTTTCTGGTTTTTGGCTGGTTCCTGGTCGAGACATTGAGGGGTCGATGTTTCCCCCCCAACAATAATACCTTCATGTTAAGACCTCTTATCGTTATCGTCTCTTTTACCAGGAAATAAGACAAGGTAGTGTGGGCAGGTCAACGGTAGCTGAGGTATTGGCCCCAAGCTCCGAGCATGAAAGTCCCCTTTTCCTGGCCCGTCCCATCTGTCAGGTAACCAAATCAAATCAGTCAGCTCGGGTGGCTGTGTCTGACTCATTAGGTGTAAGGATACGCTTGGGACTCTCCTACAGCAGCTTCTTATTATTGCTTTTCACGGTGCTCACTTGGTCCATTGAGAAAGGTGATCTCGGCATGGCGCTTCCGAAATGCGGCCGGAGCTCCGGTGGGATGGCCGGACTCGAGACCGCCCAGCCGCTTCTAATACTCATCACTAACTCCCAAATCATCGTGAAAACCCTGAAGACGTGACAGATAAAGACTGGAGGGAAAGGAGAACGACCACAGTTCACATCAAGGAAGCCCAGCTCCGTGCATGTTCTCCATTCAATCATACTTTACAGATGCAGCGTAAACCAAACACGTAATTGTACAAAACGGTGACTCCTAACCGTCTACTCATCGCATTAAGCCATGGGCGCGTCTATTCATCTCAAAGGCTTGTCGGCTTCTGCACCACAACCTCTTCGTCGTCATCCGGATCCTCAATGCTTGTCCGCCGAGCAGCCTCGACAGCCGCCTGGACCGGCTTCTCGTCGTCTCCCGTCGCCGTCTCTTCCAATGGCCCCCTCTCGCCTTCATCTTTACCATCCTTCTTGCCTGCAAACGGCCACAGCCCACTGAAAGCTTTGCCTCCTGAAGCACCCTGCGGCGGGTGGACCGCAAGAGGCTTCAGGATCGCCTTCTCGTTGGGATCCGTGCCCGGCGCTGGCTCCACCTCGGGCATGGCGAAATCACCAAACTCCTCATCGTCGTCTTCTTCGTCCGAATCATCTTGACCATCAAATCGTGGCTGTCCCTGACGTCCCACTCCTCGCCACCATGAGCCGCTTCCTGGTTGACCCCAGGCACCTGCAACAGCTGCCGCTGCCCCTGGGCCATGGCGGTCTCCGTCATCCTCATCGCTCGAATTTTCTTCGTCATCTTCGTCGTCGGCGAACGGGTTTTCCGGCCGCTCCCCCTCGCCCTCGCCTTTGTCGTCCTCATCTTCTTCTTGCGAAGCAGTGGCCTGGTTCTTCTGGTGCATAGCCAGACGAGCCGCAAGCTGCAACCGCGCTCTGGAAGGAGGGTTGTTCAATGGCGGCGGCGGCGGTGGAGGCGGGGGAATCGATGGCGGGTTGAGAGACGATGAGGCGTTGTTCAATGGATCGGTATAAGCCCGGAACTAGTAAATGAGTGTTAGCCGAGGGAGTATCATTCTGACATTTGCGCACGATGTAAGAAAGGTTCCGGAAGCAAGTTTCGTTATTGTCGTTTTGCTGTCAAAGATGACCCGGATCGCAAGCGGTTGAAGTGGATAAGAAAAGTCCCAAGTTGTCTGATATCCCAAGGAATCGACGCCGGCACGAACAAGGACGTGTGATCCTACACTACTCGCCGCCACAAGATATATCATGAATACGCCCAACACCACCCTCTCACATATACCTCCCAGGCCCTCTCTATTCTCCCATGCTCTCATCCTCAACATGTCTATCCATTCTCCTTCTAAGCCATGACACAAAACTGAGGGGGGCCCAGATCATGCGCATTTCCTCATCAGACTCCACATCTCCGAGCTCATCGTCCCGTGCCTCCTCATCATCCTGAGATACAAAAATCGGCAAATCGTTGCTCTCGTCCTCTACATCTATACTATGTCCAAAGTCATCGCCGGCGCCGTCGGTGTCATCCTCTTGGGATACTCGACTGTTGTAGGGTCTTCCGTCCTCGTCTGCGTACTACGCATCCGTTTTTCGGTCCTTCTTCTCGTCCTCGTCGGGGTTGTTGTCGTCGATAAGAGATTGCGTCCAAGGGTCCAATGCAGGTGGTTCCATCTCACGGAGCTCTGAGAGCATATCACTCACCTCATTGTTGACATCATCTTCATTCTCTTCTTCCCCTTCGTCCTCCTCGTCACTGGAGCTGCCGAAGCCAGACATGAGAGTGCCTGAGCTGATAGCGAACGGCCCAATGCCGTTACCACTGCTTTCCTGAAGGTCCGCGTTGCCGTTGAGTCCCGCGTCAGCCAGCGCGTTGGAGCCAGTGTTACTCTGGGAGTTGGAGAATGATGATCCTAGGCCAGAGAGACCAACTGCTGCCAGCCCGTTGCCAGACATGCCGGCCCGGTTGCCCATAGCCACCTCGGGGCGGACTCCGCCAAGAATGGCATTGTCTCGCTCGCGAGTCTCAGCGAGGGCGCCTTCGACGTAGCTAATCCATCGCGGGTCCATAACCCGTTCAAGGACAGTCTCAGACAAGAGTTCAGGAGGGTGACGTTCCGTAAACTTCACCACCTCTTCAGCGATGAGAGTGAGATGTCCCATGTAACCCATGCGAGTCTTCATCCTGGCCTGTGACTCGTCACTAGCGAGTTGGCCCTTGATGATAGCCGTCGTTATATCCGCAGCCTCGAACAGCGAAACCGCCAAGGTAGGGTTGTAGCCTCTGTCCATAGGCCCGTTAAAAACCTGCTGAACAATATCATATACCACGTTATGGAGAAAGTTGTTCCACGGGTAGGCAAAGAAGAAGGACTATGCTCTGATTAGCTTGGGTCGGTGGCGCAACGTCACGATAAACTCACCAGGATCGTAGGCACAACACGATATTCGACAAATTGCACCTTGAGGTAGTCGCCAACGACGGGCTTCACGCTGTTCGGGTCGGGCCGATCGGGGACAGCAGGTGGCGCGTCTCCAGCCTCCTTTGTCGTGTCGTCGTCAATTCCTGGAGCTATAGGGGCTTCTGGCACCTCGGGAACCGGAGAGGCCATGGGAACTTCTGGAGCTGGCTCAACTTCGGATTCGACCTCCTTAGATGCATCGTCCTTATCCGCCTTCGTATCGGGATCAGATGTGGACTTGGAGAACAAGGGCGCTGGCATGTCTTCGGGGTGCTGGGGGGGTTCAGGCACAGTCGGCGCGGCCTCTGCTGGCTCTGTCTTTGCCTCCGAATCGGTGGCGCTAGGTGTGTAAACAACAGAAGAGTCGGACTCATCGCCCTTCTGGTTCTCTTCAGGGACAGCAGTTTGATCAGCCTTCTCGTCAAGTGAAAGTTCTTCTACCTTGTTGATGGTAGCATCATCCGAGGTCTTGTCAGCCAGGTCGTCTGGGCCGGAAGGTTTCTCGGTCTCCACGGACTCAGGCTCTTTTGCAGCCGATTCTTCAATCTCGACGTCAACAGTCTCGGAGTTCTGCTCCAGGTCGGCTTTGGATTCAGAATCCGTTGCAGCAGTCGTCTCGTCAATGGAGGCAGTCTTTGTCTTGCTCGGCGAAAGAGGAGCGACAACCAGATCGGGGTCATCAAGTCGTTGTTCCTTGATTTTGTCATCTGCGACGTTGAGTCTGGGCGAGCTAAGCGGCTCGTCCACAAAGTCGTCTTCATCTCTGTCCAGGAAGGACGAGGCTGGTGCAGCGACAGGAATCTCTTCTTCTGCCTTTACGAACTCGTGGGACGTGTCCTCGTTCATTTCGCGGCTGGGCTCAACCTCTTCGAATCCGTCATCGTCTGAGATATTGGTTACCTCTAAACGACGTCCCTCCTCGGGAGAAGAACGACCGATGCGCATCGTCAAGTCATCCGTAGATGATGGTGGTTCTTCTCCACGGTTTGGGGTAAGCTTACCCTCCGTTCTTAAGCGCTGACGCTCAGCATCTCGAGACGCAATCACGTCCTCGGAACCAACTTCGTTGAGGAGGCCCATGTTACTGCAGTGAAGCAATTCGGCCATCAACTCGCACGTCTTGAATCGATCGAAGCCAAGAGGCTCTATTTTTTCGCCAAATGTCGATTCTAGCGGCCCCTTTTGCACCGGAGTGTTCATGATCAGGTTGACAAAATCGGGAATGTGTTGCGCGAACAAGCGGAGTAGGGTTCCTAGATATATGGGGTCTCGACTCGAGGGAATAGAGTTGGCTTCGGTGCCAACATCAGGATCGTAATCCGAGTTATTCTTCCTGATGACTTCGATGATGATACCGACACCCACGGTCAGCGGGTTTCCACCTCCTAACATGTATTTGATCAGCTGTTCCACACAGGGCTGCGACACCAGCTGGCGAGTGAGTTCGTTCGGGCCGATGCATTGCTGCTCGTTTTGCGATGCGTTGGCCGAGATGGTAATAATGGCCTTGATGAAGTCGCCTGCAGCCGTCTGGACAACCCAACTATGCTCTGGGCTGAGGCAAGATAGCAGAGTCGGCACAACATCTTGACCGTACAGCCACTGCGAGAAGGGGTACGGTTAGCTCTCAACATTGTGCGGGGGGAGGGGATGGCTACTGGGCGGTACGCACCTCTACAACACCCTGGCCGCCCTCTGTGCGATCTAGAGCAATGATCTTCAGAAGCAGGTCCATAATCATAGGGCACTCGACATGGCGGAGCAAGTCGGGCACGGCCTCGGGGAGAGATTTGAGAAGGATAACCATCTCCTCCGTCTTCTTGTCGAACAATGCCTCGTTGACTTTCGTAAAGTAACTGGCTTGAAGAGGGTCAAGAGGCGTCGGGCGCTTCAGAAACTGCCAAAATTCCCGGACTAGCTCTTGGTTCTCCATCATAGCCTCGTAGATGGACCACGTGTCAGATGACAAGACCTCAGCAGCAACGTAAGCATAGCGATTGCGCTTCTTCTCTTGCTCTTCCTCCTCATTGTCGGTATCGGTGGCACGGGACGAGGCGCGAGGTCTTGAAAAGGGAAGGAGGCGGCCCTTGCCCTTGATCTCCTCGGCGGGTTCATCTGGTTCTGGGGTCGCGACAGGCTCTAGTTTGGGGGCGACGACATATTCGAGCAGTGTCTTGAGAACATTATCCTCGCGGAGGTATTCGATAAGCTTCGTGTTGTGCTGCTTGAGCTCTTGGATCAGGTCGCTCTCGTCGAGGAGGTCTTCGACGGTGAATTCGGGCTTCTCGAGGATAGTATCGATGGTGGATATATTGGCGTAACCGCCAAATCTCCAGAACATGTTGGCGGTATTTGTGGGTTGTCTATGTCACGGCGCCGGACGAGTCGCGACGACGATGGACAAAGAGCGATAAAACAATCAACTGAGCAGCAATCCGTTGATTGAGCATGCGAAATTCGTTATCCTAGTGGGATAGACAAGGGGCGTATGTCGGTTGCAGAAATCGAGTCTTAGCGAGGCAGTAAATGCCTAGTCGTTTTCTCTGTACTGTAGGCTCAACGCATGCGAAAGACGGGTCTGGGAGGGGGTATCGGTCGCTTGAAGGACTTGGAGGCTGAGCGAAGAGGCACGGGTCAGCAAAGAAAATGTCTACTACGCCTTGGTCGACAAGCGAGGGCAGAGCAAGAAAAGGAGGGCTTGGTGGTGGTAGTGGTGGTGAGGTCTACAGATGTTGTCGCCGGCGGAGTAGAGGGGCCGGCGCATCGGGCCCAGAAAAGAGGAGCTGATTGATAATAGAGGGGGGAGATGAGGGAAAATTGACGATGCAATCCTCGACGACAAAACAGCCGCAAAACGATGGCAACAGAGGGGATTCTCGGTCAATCCAGCTTGCAACGCGCGTGTTCTTCCAAGGTAGGTGAACTACTAGGAAGCACCAAGAAGCAGTAGGGAGCAGCGAGGCAGCGAGGCAACGAGTCCTGAGGGAAGAGACTGGGCGAAGGACCAGGGTACGTACAAAAGCGGGAAAAGGTAGGTTGTTGCTGTTGTACAGAGGGCGCTCTAAGCCTCGTGCAAGGATAACTAGCGATGGGAGGGACGGGCTGAAGCCGGAGCCGTCTGTCGCCTGTCGTCGGATATCGGACGCTCGAATGTGGTCGCGTGAGCTCTTTCACTCTCTCTCCGTATGTCTCTCTTCTTTTCTTTCTTTCCTTCTCGATGTTGGGAGAGAGGGTGTGTGGGTGGATGTGTGGTTGGTTTTTGGAGAGAATGCGTGGTGAGGGTGAGATGGGCCCCGGGACGTCGTCGAGATTGGATTGCGCAGCGGCGGGTTTGAGGTAAGGTTAGGTAAGGTAAAGGTGCCTTTTGCCCAATAGAATCGCTGGCTCCAGGGACTTTGAGTCGGGGGTCGGTCGTCGGAGTTCCCAGGTTGGCTCTGCCACTCTGGTTCTTTGGCTTGGGTAACGTGGGTGGGCAGGCCGCAGTGCAGTGGAGGAGGGAGAGGTGGGAGAGGTGGGATGGACGGCGGGTGCCCTGGTGAAAGAAAGGACGGTCCAAGGACGGGGTAGGTAGGTACTCGTAGCCAAATCCAACCAAGTATCCGTAGGTATCCGCACCACGGCACCTCAGATAATGTGTTGCAAATCCAGCTGGCAGCGGTTATTTTGCTGCTGACGTGCGGCTGCGGCTGCGGCTGCGGATGTTTGGTTCTGTTTGTGTGTGCATGTGTGTGTGTGTGTGCGTGTGCGCCGGTGCGGTGCGGGTGCGCGTCTTGGGGCCCTCGGAGCTCTGGGGTCGAAGAACCTGACGGAAACACTGAACAAATGTCTCGGTGGGGGGGGATACGTACTGTGTATTCCGTGTATTCCTTGTGGTACGGGTACTTTCCCATGTCACTTCGCTGACTTTCTTGCTGTCACTCGAGGTGCATTTCCATCTCATTCAGCGTTTTCCATTGCGGTAAAATGCAATCTAAAATCAAGGTAAAGTATCTTATCACATTCACCGTCAGTCAGTCATGAGCTATACTCACTCACTACATATTGTCTCGCAATACTCATTCACACGGGTCGTCATGCTTCCAGCTTGGGCCAGGTTCGGGCCCAGATTGGGTTGCCTTGCTTCCCGCCTGCTACCAAACTTGCTGCCGGCTGCCCGATGTCTCTCGGAGGCCTAGAGGCGAAGCAGAAGCAAAGCGAAGCAGGGTTCATTCATGTCTGATGAGGTCAGTCCGGTCAGACACCCACCTACATTCAGCGTCTCTACCTATCCGTATCCTCGCCCGGACATGTTAAGAAGATAAGATGCCGAAGCAAGTTGGCGATGGACTCAAGAAGGACTCTGTTCAGTCAAATCCATGTCCGGGTACTTGCGCAATGCGAGACAAGGAAACTCGCTAAGCGAAAAGCGAGCACTCAAAGCGATGGTGGCGCCGCCTCATTCAGGTTCCGGGGCCTTTTCTGAAAGACCGAGGCCTGAACTGATTGCTCTATTCCGATCGCAGATACCAGCGATAGAAGCAATGGTAAAAATTGCCCTCGGTGTTCCCAAGAAAGCTCTAGGGCGTCGTGGGCACTGGCCGAGTCACTTCCTTACCTCACCTTACAACATCGTTGCGATTCTCGTCGCCCAGCCTTACAGGACTGCGATGGCCATCTCGAATTGTGGCTTTCTTCGTCTTGGTTGCCCACAGTGGGATGGATTTTCGCCTAATCCAGCCCAAGGACTTGGACGGTGGAGAGAAGCCATGAGGGCAAGGGTCCTACCCCCAACTCTGTCTATTAGAGGTTCATCAGCATGATGTGATGCCGGACAGGGCCAGGCCTGAGATGCCCCTCTATTGCCCTCTGTGTCCCTCTGGACTCTCCTGGGGCCTGGCTGAGGGGGAAAACTGGAGAATGAGATGCAAGAGCCGTGCATGTGTGACTGTATGACTCAATTGGTGATCCGGCAGCCCTCCTTGCCCTCATAGTGACTCTGTGACTCTTCTCTTTTCTCATGTTTCGTTTTCTGTGTGTTGGGTTTCTGTGTGCTAGGCCAGGGTTTTTTGTTGAATCGAATCGAACCGAAACACACCTAAAATCTCTAGTGTAGGACTGAAGATGATCTCCGAGAAGGAATTGCCTGGTTCCATGGGATGGAATTTGTCCCAGATGCCCAATTTCTGCGTCGCTGATAGTAGACTAAGTCTAGTCCCCCTCATTCTCTCTCGAGGTACTTATCGGAAGTTCCTCGGATGCGATTTTCGCCGTCCTGCCCCGCTACACTTCTGGAAGGTGGATCTGGGTATTTGTACCGGGTACGAGTCTACTAACAGTGTCAACTCTTGTCTTTCCTCAGTCTCGAGTAATTGGTTTCTTATGAGAAAAGGGGGATCAAGGGATGAGAAAAAAAGAAAAAAAGAAGAAATCCATCACTGTTTCTTATTCGGCTCCCTCCTCGCTTCACTGTGTAATCAATAATCAGGGGCTAGCCTTGTTCATCTCATGTCACTCCTCATCCCCTTCTCTCCGTCACCCTGTCCGCGAATAAGACATCAACCTGTAAAATTCCATCCTTTCTGTCGTGTGTCCCATTGCCCAAATAGCAGGTGAGCTCTTTCTTCGTCCCAATACATCTGGGAACATTCCTATGCTTGCATTCCATCCTTTTCACACAGGTACCTTATCAAATTCAATAATCGAGCCTTCTGGGCTCTCACACATCAGATTAGAATGCTGAAGATCCAGCGTAACGGCCGAGCCCTTCAAGATGAGTCCGCCATCGTTCTTCTGCAACCCCCGGCCTGCCACGTTGCTAGCCCTCCCTGCAGAATCCTTCCCACGTTGTCAGCCGATGGCCCCGAGACGTGTTTCCCCCAACTTCCCCAGGCAGCCTTAACCCTCCTGCTGCCTGTCGCCCGCCTGGCATTCCCCAACGTAGGTGGTCCAAGCGACCCTTCCATCTGGGCGTTGGAGTGCGGTTGCCGTTCCCTCGCCTAAAGCACGTGAGATCGTTACAGCTGCGATTAAGTCCGCTGAGCACAGATCCATGCCCGATATTTGACCACTAGAGGTTCTCATTCGAGAACTGACATGATTCAATTCTTGAGCAGAGTTGGACGGTTCAATTTCCATGGCTATGCCTAGCTATCTCAAAGTATCGTGAGCAACCAGAGTCACCAGACTCTTCACGGCAGTTGAGCTTTCTGGTGCATACGGAGATGAGCAAAATTCAGTACTATCCGGTCACTTGATAATGATAGCTACAGTTGGGCATGGTATTTTCCGAGTCAACAGATGTCCTAATTTGCCAGAGAACCACGCCCATCGGCTACCTATTCTAACAAGGGTACAAGGAGACGTAAGTGTTATTTCATCACAGGCAGATAGTAGGCAAGTATCAAGCTTGAGTATCGCAGACGATTTGCTTCACATCTATTCCAATTCGATAGCATAGAAAACTTGGTAATTTATTATTTGACGGAGTCCATGTCAGGCAAAAGCCTTGGAAAGTGCAATACACCAAAATTGCGCGGTTCTCGACCTCAAATAACCCACTTGCAAATACCGTGACTCGCTGATTTTCTCTTTGACGATCGGATGTCGCAAAGCCTTCAGCTGTGAGAGAGGTGCACAGTAGACTCATGTTGAGGACTTCAATTAGAGTTTCTTTCAAACATTATTAGAACCGTTGACGGCAAATGGGGCGTCACCTTCGCCTCCCAAAGCTCTCAGCTTTCT